TTCATTCTAGAATGAAAGAGGCATAATTTATGTTTATTTCCTAATTTTTTATGGTGGTTAAAGTTTTTTTCTTAAGAAATATTTGATAACTATTTAGACATTATAAAGATTTCACTGAAGGAGTTAAAGCGATAAATTTCCTAATTTGGCCCAGTTTAATAGAGGTATGAAAACCAGTGTTTTGATAAGACACTATGGTTTTGCTGTATGGATCTTCACTGAGACATTACACTTAGTGTGTCTGTTTCCTCACAACTATGTAGAGCTTCATCAGGTCAATACAATCTACATTATTAAAGCCTGTTACTAAAATTGTTACTACAGCTTACGTTTGTTTCACTGTAAAGGTAAAGTCTCATTAAGTTGTAATGAGCTTTGTTACATCATTGTAACTTACTTTATTCATTTTGTGTAATTGTATAGTTTTATTAGCTCATTTATCTATTTCATTTGGCTGTGGCTTTGCCAGACTGTGGAACTGAGGGTCCATGGTTTGTGGCTCATTGGTATAAAAAGAAAACATTGTGCATTGCACTTATGGGCTTTGGATATGTTTCATTACAGACAATTACTCTGTTTCACTACATCTGCAGAAAGTTTCTTTATTTCATTACAGCTATTTTCTTTATTTTACCATAGCTGTATAGATCTTTATTAGGTCTTTACAGCCAAATTCTATGTTTCACTAAAGCTGTATAGAACTTCATTAATTCCTTTAGACAATTTCTGTTGTTTCACTAAAGCTGTATAGAACTTCATTAATTCCTTTAGACAATTTCTGTTGTTTCACTAAAGCTGTATGGAACTTCATTAATTCCTTTAGACAATTTCTGTTGTTTCACTAAAGCTGTATGGAACTTCATTAATTCCTTTAGACAATTTCTGTTGTTTCACTAAAGCTGTATGGAACTTCATTAATTCCTTACAGACAATTTCTGTTGTTTCAATAAAGCTATATAGAGCTTCATTAATTCTTTGTACACAATTTTATCTTCATTTTACTGAAGCTGTATAAAATTTTATGTAATTACAGTTTTGTTTTTAAAGTTACTTTTGCATGAACTTTGCTCATGAAAATATTCTTGAAGTGTTATTATTTGTTGAAATGAAAAATGGATGTTTTATTCATACATATATATATATATATATAAACTTTCCAATAAATTTGTTTGGTATCTTTAGAATCAGCTGAGAGAACTGCTACAGTCTGCTGGGTTTCCTGAGGAAACCATGTCAGTACAGAACTTCATATTCCATGCACCAGATAGTAAATTAGACATGGTAAGTTATATAAGTTGTTTCTTTGTATATAAAAGTAAAACTTTCAAAACCGTATTTCTCTTGTGATGGATTACTGCATCTGAATGAAGTTTTACAAAAAATATGTACAATTTATATCAAATAAAACTTTAGTCTTTTCCAATCAAATAAAAGATATTTAGATGTATAAAATATGGCATGAATAGTTGAAAAATTCTCACTAAAATGTTTATGTATTTGTATGAATTTTTCCCTCATTTCATACTTACTACTGATTAAGATATTTCATAGGGGCTCTTCAAGATGTTGTGTGCAATTCATAGACTTAAGTTCATGTATTTGTATGAATTTTTCCCTCTTTTCATACTTACTACTGATTAAGATATTTCATAGGGGCTCTTCAAGATGTTGTGTGCAATTCATAGACTTAAGTTCATGTATTTGTATGAATTTTTCCCTCTTTTCATACTTACTACTGATTAAGATATTTCATAGGGGCTCTTCAAGATGTTATGTGCAATTCATAGATTTAAGTTCTAAGAAGTTTTACTCTCTTTTTTTATGTGTTGGGCTGCTGTTCTATTTATAGCAATGTATTACTGTCATTTTAAACTGTGTTTAGCATTTTATCTGCATCCAGTGATTGTTTTCAAGTTTTACTTAGTACAAATTATATTTAAAAAAATTAAGCTATATTTTTGTTTTAAGAAAAACTAAAAAACAAATTATCTGTAATTTAAAAAAAAGTAACTCATGTTTGCATTCTTAAAAATGGTAGTTTCTTTCAAGTTAACTTTATGCTTTTTCTTTTCAAAATGTGTATTTTATCATAATATTACAATAATCTTGAAGACATTTATTTTTCTTTCCACAGATCCTAGCATTTCTTCTGGTAGGTTACTATCCAAATATTTGCTTCCATAAGGAAAAAAGGAAAGTGATCACCACTGAAGGGAAGGCAGCTCTCATTAACAAGACTTCAGTAAACTGTACTAACATACCTAGAAAATTTCCATTTCCTTTCTTTGTATTTGGAGAGAAGGTATGGTACTAAAGTCTGAACCAAAATGAAATATTTTAGCTTTTGTTAATAGGATATAAACTGGAGTACATGTTCAGCTACTTACATTTCTGTTCTACATACAGTAATGGAAACAGTTATAGAAACACACAAATGGTACATAAACAAGAGTCACAAACAATGACTAATGGCAACTAGATGGTACAAAAATATCAAAGGAAAGTGATAAGTTGTAGAGTTCACTAGTAATTGTATGCTGGACAGAGCATTACACCTTGTTTTTATGCTATAATAAAGTTTATTAATGTACGGTGATGTGGAATAGGTCCCCTGGTGGGACTGCAGTAAATATATAGACTAAGAATGCTAAAATTCTGATTTTAATTCTCCATGGTAGGCACAGTAGATAGTCCAATGTGGCTTTGCTTTCAATTTTAGACCCCCAGTGGTAAGTCTGAAGACTCATGCTGCTAAAAATTGGGTTTCAATACTCATGATGGACACAGCACAGATAGCCTTTTGTGTAACTTTGCAGTCAACAATAAACAAACAAATATGTATGATAGTGTTTCAAATGTCCCATATTATTCCCTGCAATATATCCAAGTTGTGTAGTTGCCTTTTGACTGTCTCAGTTTTTACACAAAGAATGTTCATATCAGGACCTCTTTACCATCAAGATATAATTTCACAACATTTGCTACATGTGTAACAGGTGGTTTCATCATGGATTTGACTTTCACTCATTACAAATTTATTTATATATTTTCAGGATATTTACATGGTCATGTTAGGTCCACAATTCAACAACTGGAGGAAGTTTATGTAAAGAATAAAGAAATACTTTGAGATCAGTGAGCAAAGCAACAGATATATTTTTTATTACTCAATTACATAAATGCAAACTATTATCCATCACATATTTTTCTATTAATGTTACAAGTTTAAACAATAAGTTATTATGATTAGACCATTCTATTCTTTATTCATGCTATGTAAAAGTGAGATGACAAGGTAAACTTACATAGAGTTTGGTAGTGGAAGTTTCTGTAAGTGGTAATCCTCACTATTCTGTTAACTTTGCTTGACCTTTGTTGAAGGACTGGCTCTTGGCTGGAGAGCTGGAGCAAGACTCGATAAAAGTTGTAGAGAGCTCTCGAGAGACTACTTACATTAGTTTAAAAATGCTCTTAGAAAAGATCTTTATATCATAGTTATGAATAGCATCAAACCACATTCTTCCATTTAGGCTACAGATCACAATATGATTTTCAATTTGATTCATTACAACCAATGGCATGATGGACTTCCCAGACACTTGATCCTCCTGCTCGATAAATATTTTGGTGAACAACAGTGTTTGTTGCAAGAACTTTCAATACCTTTTCTTATAGCGTTAATTCTGTTACTAGCAGTATAATTACAGGAAATCTGTGCCAGCATTTCTGCACTTCCCATCTGTATGTCACATGTTTCACAAACATTCTGTGAATTCCCTTGTTTAGGATGTGTGCAGCATCAACTAAAGACATATATAATTTCTGTAGATTGTTATTATTATTAGGCATCTTGCTGGAAGATAAACATGCACTGCTATCTCCACATACCATACTTTTTATTTTCTCAAATGTTACTTCTTCATGACTTAGTAAACTGTATTAGGATAATGAGCCATTTATGTGGTCACTAATGAGTTTGATGAAAGAAAACATGAAGTCCAACCCCAAACTTTTACTGGTACCCTACCATGCTTCATGGACTTCGTGCACTGACTATAATACCATTTTGCTCTCTGCTGTCAAACAAACTGTCCTTAATTGTTGCTAAACAAATCAAACTTTGACACATAAATGTAGATAAATATTAGTAAGATGGACATGTTGCTGCTCAAAAACCACGAAGAAGAGGTAGCAAAATCAGAAGTTTGAAATAGGCTTCAGAACCCATACAATAAAATGAATAAAGCTGGATATGTACTCTTTACAGATATGTATCTACTGTTCTTGAAGTAACATTCACATCTGTATTTATAGCAAGTTCATTGGCAAGGTTTATACTCGACCATTATCTATTTCACAAAGAACATATCCCGACATACTGAACATCATGTTTATTAGTAACAGTGCCAGTTTCATGAATCCTCTTCAGAGATTTGCTAACAACTCCTGCTGAAACATGCAGTTTTGCTAGTTTTTTGCATGGAGTACACTTGACAAGCCAAAACTTCTCTTTCTTCATGGTTATCATGTAGTATTTCAGTTAAGGAAGCCATGACTGGATCAGTGTACTACTGCTGGGTTTAGTGCAGTTGTCTTTATTTTCATAGGCTTTATATTAGTGTTGCACTTTCTAATTGGTTGGATGATAACCAGTCACAGTGTAAGCTATCAACACATGACTATACTCTGGTGCAGTGAATTTCAAAAAAAGACCCAAAACTTTCGATTAGTTGACTATTCTTCAGGAGAATAATTCTCCTGAAGAAGATTAGTCAACTGTTTGAAAGTGCTTGAGTTTGGGGTATTTTTTTGAAATTCACTGCACCTTTTATGTGTGATCCTGTATGCTAACACTTTTTTAAAATACTCTGGTGAATTTTATTTTTGTAAGGTAAAGGGGTGGAATTTCTGTAGTATTTGCCTTTTTATACCATTTTTATCATCTTTTACATAACTACTTCCAATACTGCACATGAACATAACGTTTTTATGATATTTATATAACACACATACAGAAGAATTTGTGAAGCATAACTTTTCAGTATGGGTCAATATTATGTTGTTTCTTTGTTTCTTAATTTTCACTTCCACTCGCAACGTAGTCTACAACAACATTCTAAATGTAATAGAAATATTTTATAATACTAAAAGCTACTATGGCAGTTGATTTCATTTTATTTTGTGAATTAATTATTTAATACTTTTTTATAACAAAGGTTTCTCTAATTTAATGAAGTCTGGATGAAATACTAAAACTTTATTTGCATCATAAAGATGAAACAGTAAATAGAACCCATTTTGTGCACTTGTATTTTTATATATACTTTCCACATTATCAGGAACCACCTGACAAAAAGTTTACATTTAATCATGATTTTGTGTTTTGTTTTATATAGTAACTCATAGGATTCTTGAAATATATATTACCTTGCACAAGTACATTCATAGTTTCTTAAAGTTGTTTTTTGTAACTACTATTGCTATTGCTGCTACTATGCATTTCTTTGGTAACTAAATAACACTGTTTGAATTGTATTGAGGTGAGCATATGTTGACAAATGTAAAAAATTGACTTATAATTACAAATCTTTACTTTGTATATGGTAGATTTTTAAATATACTGCCATTTAGTAGTTTCTTAATTAAAAGATATTGATACATGATTTTCAGGTCCGAACACGAGCTGTGTCATGTAAACAAATGACCATGGTAACACCGCTTCATTTGTTGTTATTTGGATGCTCTAAGTGTGAATTGGTAGATGACTGTGTACAACTTGATCGATGGTAAGCCAAGTTTACAGTTGGTAGACCTGAAGTCTAGTGACTTCAGTTATAGAAAACTTAGTGTTAAAAAGTCCCATCTTCAGGTATAATGCAACATTGAAATAGATCTTTAAGTTGAAACAATGTGATACAGAGATTGTCTAATTTTATAAAAGTAATATTCCACTGTAATAAATAGTGTTGTTATGAAATTTTGAAGTTGGTATTTTCAAATCTACTTACCATGAAATGAGAGAGCTGTAACATTGGTAAGTTGAACTAATGAGACTATAGGAAAAGCCATTTTAATGCCAAAAACATTTGTCATTTGGGATGCTAATATCTCTAATAAGTATTGTATAAAATTATCAACACTCTCTCAACACAGGATCGCTTGAGTTGATGATGTGACCTCTTTGTATATGTATAAAGTCTTTATAGATTTGATACTAGTAACTTTTAGTATAGTATGTATATCTTCACAAAATTTGGCAGTCTTTCAGTAAACATTACAAGTCTTTCACATACAAAAAATATATTTTTGTGAAGTATTTTGAATAAGTTAAAAAAAAGAATTGTCTGTGAATATATTGAGTATTTATTTTGAATAGTCTGTGTGCAAAGTGATTTTCATGTTAGATTAAAAATACTTTTCTTCATCTCAAAAATCTCAAATTTTCTTTGTGTAATCTCTAAAACCTCCTAAATGCATTTGAAACATTTTTTCAGTAAAACTGTACAGTTTATCTGTTATTTTCTCTACCCTATCTCAAAAAGGGATTGGTCAATTTGACCTCGTAACAACCAAAAAAAATCAAAATCAATCTAAATTACCTTTTTTTTCTTTCTAGAATGACTTCATATTTTAACAAAACTACATTTGTTTATCCTAAGTAGCTTTAAACTCATAACAGCATACATCTATTTATAAATAAATTTTATTGTTTTATTGCTTTTTGAACCATATCTAACTACTACTATTCATACCATTATAAGTTGTAAGTCACTCTGGGAACGTGGAGCTCATGTTACGCTATCATATTAAATTACCCACGAACTACTCTGAGCTGCTCCACATGTGTGCCACGTGAAACATTTTTATTATATTATTCTTAATATTTATTTTACCTAATGTAACCTGAACTAACTTAGAGAGAGCCCTAATTTTACGTTTTATTTACTTTGAAAATAATGAATAAAGAATAAACATGATAAACAAGAAATAAAGTACTTACCTGGGTTGTAGTCTTTTTTGCTATCAACTGTTGATGACACTTAACCCTACTTTTTTATGCTAATGGTAGTAATGCACTAAATAATTTTTATTTAATTAAATAATGCACCAAAGAACATAGTATGATAACATGCAAAAAGAAAACAATTTCCCATAATTGTCACAGTTTTTCTGGTTTTCTAACTATGTGGCATGAGCTGTTACAAGTTCATCCAGATTAGTTGTTATCTTTCCTGTGGCAAAGAAGCTTGTATTAACTGAGAAAATGACAATTCTCTGTTAAGAAAACAATGTAATACAATATGTCATTTGATAGATGAAACCTTGGCTTTCTGTTGGTTATACATGACATAGTATTAAGAGTAAAAGAAAACTATTAACAAATCCTGAAAGAGAGGATGTGATAGGTGGGTGTGGCAAGAGGGGCCTGATTCTGTAACCAAACAAGATTGAAGGCTATAAAAATTGTCTGAGCGATGATGATTTTATAGTGAGTAATTTGTGTTAAATTTTGTACTTCTTGGAGGGGTGGTGAATAAAATAGAGAAGATGGGATTTCTAGAGAAAATGTTACATTTCTTACACAAGAGAAAGTTCAGGATTTTTTAATATATTGCCTTATAAAATTAAGAGCTTAAAACTTGTATACTATTGAAATATGGTTTATTAGCTATGAATTTATGTTTTACTAATTAGTATAACATAAACAAAAAGTAGTTTAATTAAACTTTGAATGTAAGTCAGTTAGACCTCGTGACGTGCGCAGTAAAGGATGTCTGTGGCAATAGGGTTATAATAACCATCTATAGTATTCTTAAGATTTACTACACTGCTGTTCTATATTTTTAGTCGAGCTAGTAGTTTTATTAAAAAATGTGAAAAAGTAATCAATTTTAGCTATATTATGATAGAATATTTTTCATTAATGTCACAGTATTAAGTGGCCTAAAGCAGCTTGTATTTGAAGTAGTGACACCAAAGCTGAAACCCTAATTAAAAGATTGATATTAATTAATTTGACATGGACTAAATATGTGTAGAAATAATGAACTGTAATAGGTTATAGTATAATAAACTAGAGCATATATAAAAAAACCTTAATACGTCATTAAAATAGTCATTACTTTAAATTACACCAGGTTTACTGTTGGGACTCGGTGAATGGTAGAACAACTGATCAGGACATTGAAATAATTATACCGTCTTATCTCTGCTTTTTAACTTTAGAACCTATACAGACCCTTGCATGTTTCATAAATAACAGCTCATAATAACACTAAAACAGAGCAAAATGATGAAGAAAGGTCCACCTTTCAAAAGTGTTTGGGTTATAGGGTTTTGTACCTTAGTTTTAAATTGACTTTTTAACCCTGTGTTCCACTCATATCAGGAAATGACAATAACTTGAGGCCAAATAATCTAGTATTCTAAATAAAATCACCTAACATTCAATTCCCTGGGTGGGATTAATCAAAAGTACACAACCATTACATAAAAACATTAAAAAAATACATAAATTAGTACTATTTGGTTGTTTTCATTTTGAATGAAAGTTGGCAGATTTGGTTTAGAAATCTTGAAGTAAATTTTATAAATTATCTAAATATAGGAATGTGAACATAACCTAAAATTAATTTGCTCAGAATTTTGTCTGGACTAAGAAGTCAGTAGGAAATACTTGGGTTTTGAATATAAACAAGTTAACAGAAAAATGAAAATTCATCTTGCTGTTATCTGTCTCTGTTTGTGATACATAAATGTTATTTAACTTGTGAGAATATTAACTTTCTTTTTCATCTTTTTGTTTCAAAAACTATTTTATTCACAGAAGTGTGACACATTAATATCAACACTCAACTCTGACAACAAGATGTAAAGAAAGTTGGATAAATAAAACTGTTCTGAAATAACTGCAATTTCTAGTAGTTAATAAATATGATGCTTTATGTGATACATACTTTTTTATTTTTGAATTAGTTGCCTAAAAAAATGAACTAAAGAATTCATTTCTGATCAAATCCGTAAATAAATCATAAAACATAATCATGAACAAAAAATCCACAATAATAAGTATACACTTACTTTTTGTTGCATTTTCTGACAATCTCCAAGCTGGTACATGAATTTTCTGAACCAGTTCATTTTATTTGAGGGCTTATCCATAATTTGAGTTTGTCTTTTTGAGTTATTAGTCTTGAGTTGACGAGTGAAAGTTAATGTTTTGTAGTGTCCACTTCCTCCTAAATTTTATAGTGTCCCCCCCCCTTCTGTTCACTGCTTATTGAAGTAATTATTTTCCCCAAATAACATTTTACTGGTTGTTAGACTCAAGCAATTCATGTTTACCTGGCTCCAACAGTAATGTGCTTGTGTTTGCAGTAATACAACCTTTGTTGGTATAATTTTATGATGTCACAACAGGTGATCTGAACAATCACTAATGAAACTCAGCAGATTATAAACAGTGTAAAGTAAATAAAGTGGTGTGAGAAGTAAATCATGGTTTTTATAAGAAAGAGATTAGATGTAGCTCTTGCAGAGAAGAACGATGAAATTTAGTGTGAAGACTTGTGATCAAACCACAGATCTGGGAATTTTTTATTGTTTCTTTGAACTTTCTTTTCATTTCTGAAATTGTTCTCATAATAATTATTATGTATGACAGTTATTGTAATTTTCTTCTATGACAAGACATTAGGTAAGTTTTACTAGGTGTAGAGAGTACTAAAGCAACAAAAAAATATTCTGATGACTCACATCCTTTTGTATTGAATATTATTTTTAAGTTTATGATATTCAAACAATGCCCATAAGTAAAATAATTTATAATTTACTGAAAATAAAGTGTATTTTTTAGATCCAAATTGTTTTCGACCAAAAATATTGTTACCTACCCTGACCTGACATCATTTTGAAAGGTCAGTTTTTAGGTCAATGATAAATCTTTATTTATGCATTGTTTTTTTTTTATGATTTATAGCTAGCAAATTGGGGAACAAATGTTCCAAATGATAAGTGTTAATGAAAATCAATCAACAACAGGAAAAGTTGAAAAGTCTAAGACAAAAGAAGTTTTTTAATGATTTTTCAGAAAAGTATCACAAAACTTTTAAAAAAATTTAATTATATGAATTTTTTAAAGCCCAACCTAAATACATTTATTTAATCTGTGTTTAGTGAAATGCTCCTGAAGATGCTGTAAAGTGAAATGTTGAATGTTCAGTTAAAAGAAAATAAGAAATTTGGTATTATAAGGTCGTTTATTACTAGTATTAAAATGTCAGTTTTATACACCAATATGTACAACAGAAATTAATAAGTTTGAGGGCTTATAATGCTAAAAATAGGGTTTTAATACTCACAGTTGTCACAGCACAGATGGCCTATTGTGTAGCTTTATGCTTAATAACAAACAAGTAAAAAACTTTATATACCTTACAAATGAACTTTGTGATGATTTATTCACCTGTGTGAGGTAGTGGAAGGTAAGTTTGATGTGTGGTAAGGACACCACACTCTAGATAAGTGTTAAAATGTCTAACAGTAACTACAGGGTTAGAAAAATATTTCTGTATATTAGAACCATAGCTTCTATAATTCTAAAAAGGTTTTTTTTAACAGGATAAATATCAAGATCCAACCTCATGTAGCAGCAATGATTGTTGCTCTACAGCCCGCAATAGAAAACCTTATTATGCATTATGCTTCAGATCCAGAGTCTCTCACTGAACTGGGTCCACTTAACAGTAAATTGGTTGATGTGGTTCGTAAGTTATGTCGGATGGATGCTGGAAAATTTGACTTGTTAGATGATGGAGAATATGGCTCTGAGTAAGTTAAAAGGTGTTGTTTCACCAAGTCTTAGAAATATCAAAACTAAAAACTTGTGTAACTTATTAATTTCCCTATTTCATTATTTATTCAATTACCTAGGAAAAATAAGAATGAAGTAAAAGTTCCATTTGTCAATAGTATTGTAGTCTACTCTTGTGGTGGTTGTCCATGCTAAAAATCACTCTCCAGAGTGACTAAAATTATAAAGCAGTTAATATATAAACACTTGGAATTAATATTTACTATTAAATTCTGTATTAAAAGTGTGTGTGTGTTAATATAGCTAATTATTTGTAAAATAATATATGTATATATATATATTTTTTGTGTGTGTGAGGGGGGTGTGTGAGATTGCATACATGTAGTGAGTTAGAGAGAGCTCTATGTTTTGGATACAGAATTATTTTAATGATATTTTAACAATCTTTAATATAAACAAAACTCACCGGTTTAAGCATAGCTTAGGTAACACATTTTTTGCTGTTAATGGAGGGAAGTATTGTCTATACTTTGTGAAACAGAAAAATTGCTGAAATGAAAGGTGGAGCAGTTCTTGTGAGAATTCTTTCATCAGAAATTTCTGTACAAAATGTCAATAAATCATATAACATAGGAACCCATAAACTTTTGAATTTTAGTATTTTTGCAAGTCACACCTGTGTATTTATGTACTCTTACTAATGCACCTTTTTTATTTACCTTTGTAGCGGACCTCCTCGTAAGGCACCAAGGCTAAGTGCTGGCTTGGGCAGAGGAGGTGGATATAGAGGAGACTTCAGAGGTGGATATAGGGGAGATTTCAGAGGTGGATATAGGGGAGATTTCAGAGGTGGGAATAGGGGTGGCTCAGGGGGATATAGGGGCAGCTCAGGTGGATATAGGGGCAGCTCAGGTGGATATAGGGGCAGTTCAGGTGGATATAGGGGTGGTTCAGGTGGATATAGGGGTGGCTCAGGTGGATACAGAGGTGGCTCAGGTGGATACAGAGGTGGCTCATCTTTTCAAGGAAGTGGATTTCCAGGTGGACCACCTGAAGGCAGAGGATTTTCTAGGGGTGCTTATTAGAGGCACCAGAAGTGTTATCATGTATGTGTATTGTGGTTGAGCATTCCAACCTGTAATGGAATTCCTGAGTTACAGTCAGCTTAATGTTATATCCTTAAGTCTTAAAGTTTTTAGTTTAATGCCATGTGACATTTTTGGGGGGTGGGAGGATGCTGTAGCTTGAAGAAAACTTCTGTTGTGTGTTTTAAAATAAAATGACCAACCTGAAGTATATTTTGTGTATTTATTTCCACCAAAGAAATGATTAAACATGGTAATAATTAGTTTTTGTTTGTTACGAAAAGGCTTCTGAGCAATTGGAATATGTTTAATTGAATTGTACAGAACCTACTTTGTAATATGATATAAACCAAATGGTTTGAAACTGATTAATTTTACTGAAACTTAGTAACTTTTTAGTAAGTTTTCAAGTGTAACAAATTTTTAGACAGACATCGTGTAAAACAGAGTTTTGCAATAAAAGAATATCTGTTATGCAAACTTGTGTATTATCACATCTATGATAGTTGTTTGGAAAAAAAAAAAGAAACAGTGCTAAAAAAATTAAAATTCTTGGAATCGATTCTTTTCAATATGAAAAGACAATTTAAAATATTGTTTTCTCTTGGTGTAGACTGGTTTTAGGCTATACACTGTTAATAGATTTAATATTTCAGAATTGTAGATGGTACAAGTATCAGATTTGGTTCAGATATTGCACTATCTAGTGAAATCCACTCTGATCAGATATTAATTTTCCAATAAATCAGGTAATTGGATAGCATTTCCATCAACAGATTATCTTGCAATATACTGCTTGCTCACACATCACTTGTAATATATATTGCATCATCATTGGTGCTTTCTGCTAGCTTGAACATGTAGTATCATTTTCCTCAAGTATTAAAGTGTTATGTAGTTTAAATAAACATCACACCCACCTGTTGTTTTACACTGTTTCCCACATGTGATCATGGTAGCAATAGCAAGCACAATCCAAACAATTGTCTCATTGGGGATTTAAGGCACTGTTTAATGCTGCCATATTCCCCTAGAAGGCCTACAATATCTGCTCACTCCCGGAACTGGACATTTCTGTGTACATATTGATTATATTTTCAAAAATAAGTGACATAGGAGTTTTATTAAAAAAGATGAAAAACAATGGCAAAACATATTTAATAATCTTCAGATATTTCACAACATTTTCCAGTTCTGCTTCATACTCCCATATGATCATAGGTGTGGATTTTTAATTACTCCTGAAGGTAAAGCAGTTCTTTATTTTGAAACAAGTTGTGAATTTTGAAGTCTTCAAAATTAATCATAGCTTAATTTGTATGTAAAATGTTTTAATTAGCATCTGTAGATAACTTCTAACAATACTTCTGTGTTTATTATAAAGGTGAGGGTGAATGTACTGACAGTGTATGATTTCTTACTGGATACTATTTTGTTGGGTAGGACTTTAATGAAGGGTAGGTTTTGACCTGCAAGGGTTTAAAATACATTACCAAACAAAGGTTTGAAACTTAATAGTACTTATTTTCATATTTTAATGATAATATTACCATAACTACTTGCTGGTGGTAATCCTTCCTTTGTAGTTGAGGATGTTAGTTTTCCATGATGATGTTATTTGTGAGTCCTGTGATGGCTGATGAGGCTGATCCAGAATCAACAAACTCTTTTTGCAGCTTGGATACATGTTTGAGCTTAATTGTGATTGGCTTAAATGTATAGATGGAGATTATGTCTAGCATGTATAAATGTACAGGTGGAGATGATAAAGGATTAACAGTCACAATATCTTTAACATAAAACTTTGATTAATTAAACATACCTAATAAACAGCAAAACAGTCAGTCACATTTGTTTAACAACATTGTTGGTTCATTAAACATATGCCTGGGGAAGTTTAGAATTACATCAGTAATCGTATTTCAACATTAACATTGTTGATGTTTATTTTCTTTCATACTTACTCTACCATAACATGTCTTGCACTCGAGGCATTCATGTAGCAACTAAACATACACCACCAAAATGGTCTGCTCCAATGTATGGAAGGGACTGAAATGTACAGTTTTGGTGGGGATGTTTTTTTTATACAAGAACTTTTGTTTAAGTAATGGGCATTATATAAATCAAAAGGTCATTTTTTATGTGAGTGGCATTTAACATTTGATTATTATTCAAACAATTTCTGTTAACAAGAAAAAAGTTAACAGTGTTTGAATGCTGTCTGATGACCTTTTGAATGTTTAGATCTATCTAAACTTTCGAATCCAGCTCCTGATCTTGTTTATTAACTTTTCCAGGTAATGTAAGGAATTTCCATTGTTCATTGAGGTATTTTTTATGAATGTAATTTTAGAAGTTATGTAGAGAGAATTTGAGCAAGTGATATAGGTTTTATTCTGAAGGTTTAGAACAAATTTACTTTTAACAAAGAATACTTTTCCATACAACATGCAAGTTATGTAACATTATTCCAAAGTTCCTGAATTTTAAAACAAAGAATTATAACCTCCAGAATTCACCGGCTTTCCATTCCTGTCAACACTGCCTCTTTGAAAAAGAATATGGCTGTTGTTTAACAACTACTATAGCACTTTTATTGGCGATTGTCGGGTGGGGTAGTACTGTAAGTTATAACTTGGGTAAAATGTATTACTGTGAAGCTTAGAATTTTTGTATTATCTGTGTTTGAATGTTTCTTGCAAGAAATTTATATTTTATTCTTTATAACCAAACCCAGAATCATCTTCATGATGTATATGTAGTTTAATATGATTAATTTTTCTGATTCTCTTTCACTTTTTGAATACAAATCTTGATGAATAAGGCCTAACTTGTCCACAACATGGCAAAGTTTCCAAGTATTATGATAGCGGAAGTCACGTGATGCTGGTAACACGTGATGAGTTTCTAGAAGGATCGTGAAGGTCCGAGTGTTTGCCAGACATCCTCTATTTTAGTATATAAGCCCAGCAAATAATTTGCAGATAGAGAGATATAGAGACAGATAATCGAGTCAAGTCGTAAGTAAAGTGCGTGAATCGTTGTGAATTATAGCGTGTGACTGTGGAAATTAAGTGTGTTGCAAAGTTGTATTGAGAAAGAATAAACTAGTTTTATTTAAGAAAGGACTTGTATTGCTGAAGTTCCTCGGAAATCATATTTACGGGAAATTAACAAATGAACAGACGTAACAAATTGGTGTCAGAGAGTGGGATGGAAAAAAAATGTAAACGAGAAGTGGCAAATCAAACAACAGCTTAGATTTGATGGCAGCAATAAAATAAGCAAGAAGAACGAGAAAAGAAACAAGAAGAGAGATTACAGAAGTGGCAAGAAAACCTGCAACAGTGGCAGCTCGAACAGCAAAATAAACAAGAGAGATTACAGCAGTTGTTGGAGGAAAAAGAAAAGAAACAAGAAGAACGAGAAAAGAAACTAGAAGAGAGATTACAACAGCTGTTGGAGGAAAAAAAAGAAACGAGAAAATAAACAAGAAGAGAGACTACAGCAGTGGCAACTGGAACAAGAAGTACAAATGGAAAAACATTAGTAAATTTCAAAGTGATTTAAATACATTAAAGGATGATTTAATGTCTTTTACACAAGTAGGATATATTAGCCATCAGCCTCAGAGAACAGGAAGCCCCTTCCAGACCCTGCAGCTAAACCCTAATGCAGACATCTTCAATCCTGTCAGAAGTCACATTCCAGACAGGAATGTCAGCAATAGGGGGTGATCTAATACGAAGGAAGCCACAGGAATTCGATGAGAAGGCACCATGGGAAGCACATAGAGCACAATTTAAGCTACTGGCAGAAATGAATGGATGGACAGAGGAGCAGAAAGCAGTGTACCTGGAAACAAGCCTGAAGGGACAACCACTGGAAATACTTGGACAGCTGTCAGCAGACGACAGGCACAACTATAGAGCACTGGTAGCTGCTCTAGAACTCAGGTATGGAACTGAAAATCAGGGCTAGGTTTAGGACGAGAGTCCGTGCTAAAGGGGAGAGCCTGCAAGAACTGGCACAGGACTTGGAAAGTATGGCACACAAGGCCTAACCAACTGCACCACCCGATGTCCTCAAGTTGTTGTTGAAGGATCAGTTTGTAGATGCCTTGGGCAGTCCACAACTGAAGATACAAGTAAAGCAAGCACATCCCTCTACTATGCAGGATGCAATGGCCAGAGCTCTTGAATTCGAATCTTATGTTAAGTCCAGCACAGAGGTACCAAGGTTGATACAGTCATCAGGATTCAAGGCCAGAAAAGGCCAGCTTTCAGAGAGGTGTGAAGGACTTTGCTGGCACTGTAACAAACCTGGGCACAAGAAAGCTCAAAGCTGGAAACTTCAACACAGGGTAGATGTCACGGCAGGAAAGGCTGCTACCCAGAAAGGTTGTTGGAACTGTGGAGAGCAAGGACATATGAGGAGCCAGTGTAAGAAGATTACTACCAGTAAGTCAGCCTCGGGGAAACCAGTAGAGGTTTGTGTTGAGGGACGCCCACCAACCCCCATCATGAAAGTCCCAACAGCTAGGTATAAAATGCCAAGCACACATAGTGTCTACGTAACAGGAAAGCTGGATGGCCAAAGGTGCAACTTTGTCATAGATTCTGCATCTCAGCAAACCCTTGTGAGTATCAAGGTGCTGGATCACAAACGAGTACCAGAAGCCCATACAGAAGCTCTGTGGTGTGACAGGACATTATGCAAGGTTGTGGGGACCAGTGTGGGTAACTATAGATCTCATGGGCTTAAAGGACAGACAGAAGATGTGGAAGAATGGTGCAGGACCTGCAGTACATGTTGTGCTAAAAGGGGACCCAAGCACAAAGGATGTGCTCAAATGAAGTTACATCAAATGGGCGCACCAATGGAAAGAGTAGACATTGACATTGCTGGTCCTTTGCCCCAAACTCGTGCTGGAAACGGGTAAATTTTGTGGTGGTGGATTATTTCACCAAGTGGCCTGAGGCATATGCAATACCAAATCAGGAAGCTACAAGTGTAGCTTCGGCT